AAAAGAGAACGGACATTTATTTAAAACTTTTCTCTCTTGAGAACCGCGCTAGCCGCAGATGCTTGGGTAAACAATACAAAACGTGGAAAAACCTCTTCGAGGCAGACCTGCTTGAGGAGAGGAAAGTTCAGCGAACTTCGCCTAATATTATTCTGAAGTACTGCTTCTAACGCTGAACCATAAATGTGAGTTATTATGCTGTTTAAGTTATGCTAGCTTTAGATGACGATGACAAAACAACAGAAAAAATCGGATTTTGAGGTAAATACTTTTCACATGTATCGAAAGAATAACCCTAATAGTAACCAGGATTAACAAAATGTATTATATCCTAAAATGCAGCTCATTAGTTCATTAATCTGAATGGAAGACAATGGCATCATCAGCGGCAAGAAGGACTGATAACCTGAAAAATGCTTTCTGGATAACACCAGGGAAAGAAAAAGTGCATTCGGCCACTTGCACGATCAGGATTTAGAAAACTGGGAATAAAACCATTGGTCAGTTCTGCATACTCGTCTTGTGATCAATCTGAACGGAGATGACACTTTTATTTGTCATTGAAGAAATACAATTTATGCAATGGCGCATAAGAAGAACGTTTTGGGGATAATAAGAGTGACCGCCTTCGCACAACCGGCAAGAAAATACCATGCAACCGAGTCATTTCTGAATGCTGAACGACTGCGTGATAACAACTGATATTAGGATTTTTCCTGGTAAATGGTCAAATCGTCCAAGGAAGGATGCTCTCCCAATTAAGATCCACCAGCAATCTACAGAGTCCATTGAGCGCTTTGAATGCTGAATAGCTGTCGCTAGCATTTCATTTAGTATGCCTGCATTCTTCTGACGATCCGTATTTGTTTTAGTACATTGATAACAAGCAAACGGCTACTCCGGATGATAGTTTGATAACAAGGCTTTGCAATGCTATAAACTACGATCAAACAGAAGCCAGGTGTGGTATATCTGTTTTCACAGGACAAACCATGAACAGAAATAGAACTTGACATGCGAACCTCAAAAACTGTACCTGAAAAATGACGTCAGGCGGAATGCAGTGAGTAAGCAGCTCGTAAAGACGTTCCCGTATGTCAGCTAACCTATCAGGACTCTGTTCTTCGATTATCAGACGCGCCGTCTCACGAAGGTATACTTCCCAGTCTACATCGACAATTTCTTGATCATCAGTCAGCGGCATCCTGCAAAGAAGAAAGCAAATCGTCACTAGAACGTACACGCAGAGATTCTTGAGCTTCACTGTTGAATTCGGCACGTTTCACAGATCAGAAGCGCTTTCCGAACGTTTCCGTCAGCTTTTGCGG